TAATGGATAGTAGGAATTGGTAAAAATGTTGTTCATATATTCTATTTTTCTTTCTTTTGTAACAACTAATGATCAAAATGTCTAAAAATGCTTTTCCATACAGCACTGTAAAAAAAGAAAAGTTGTCAGAACTCAAAATTCTGAGGCGACAAACTTAAAGGAATTTTAAGCTTTTCTTCTGAGTTTCCCAAACTTTGATTTCTACATATTTGTAACTCAACCAAATGTCTCATTTACAAGAAAGTACCATAAAATTAGAATTCATGTTGTAATTTTTCCCAATCATGCACTCACAAAATAATGTTTGGACTACAATTACCGTGGTTTAAATTAATATATAAAATTATGAACATAATAATTATTTAAATAAATCATTTGTATTTAAATAATAAATACTAATTTAAATAAATCACACTTATTTAAATATCTAGTTATTTAAATAAAATTAAATAATTTTTGGAACCAACTTAATTTATTGTTCCTTTATGTCCCTCACATTTTCAGCTGAAAATAGTTTTTCATCCCAGGAAAACAAAATTGTTCTGGTTTTTATCCACATTAAGAGTACATTTCAGATTGATTATATGCAATTTTGGATGCCATATTTTGATGTATCCACAAACCCGCAGACCTGGATTATACTGTGTTTTATTTCCTTGCCAGGGTTTGTAAGAATCAGACACATAAATTATTAGTGACTGGTTGTTTGCGTTGATTTATCCCCACAGACGACCCACAGTCCAGAGTGTCAGGATGTCCTAAAATTCCTAAATAACTGGTGCGGTGGTCTACCCGCAACAGGATTCTCTTTCCACTGATGGGACTCCGTACATACTTCCATATTCCTTAGCTGCTAATCTTTCTCTTTGTTTTTTCAGTTGTTTCTCTGCCAGCTTTGTCAGATTTCTTTCTTAATTTATTTATTCTGTTTTATTGAAATTAAATGTTGTTTAACTGTACTGTTTACAAGAACATAAACATTTAAAATTAAATGAAATAACCAAAAAATGACAAATATGGATGTCAGAAGAATTTCAACATACTTTACATTTCATTAACATTGTGCTAATAAATAATTAACAAACATTTTAACAAGATTCATAGTGTGATATTTTGGGAAATATCTTCATTTGCTTTCTTTTTGTACTCATCTTATTTTGGCTAAGCTAATAGATTAGCATAGCCTAGCTTTGTTTGGCTAAATTGTTGAAAACAGCTAATTGGTCAGACTCACATTTTGTTATTTTATTTTAACAAATATGAAAAGGTTTTTGGTCCTCAAACACAAAACTTTCTACAGACTTCACTGTTTCCATAGTTTCTGATTTGTTTTATGACATAAATGAAAGTTAAGCTAACAGTGTTAGCTCTAGCTACATGTATAAACAGTCTCGATTGAATTAGTTTGTACTATTTAACCATTTCTAATTGGGACAAAGCAGAATTTTAAATACACAATGATAATCTTTATTGAAATGCCTATAAATAAGTTCTTGCTATGAAGAAAAAAAACAAGCTAGCACAAAAATATTTTTCCTCAAAGATCAAAACATTTCAGTTAAACTTGGTATAGCTCTAATTTAGTTTCCTCTTACACAATATCTTACAGTATTTAGCCATTAGTTTGTCAAAATAATTTATATTCAAGTGAATTCTTTACACTAGAAAATTTGTAAAAAAAAAAAAAAAAAAACTATAAAGTACTGATAAATATTTTCATACGTTTCATCTTATTTGACACAATATCGAACATCTTTATATCTTTTCTGTGGTGTCTTTGACTTTCTCTCAGGATGGCACAGCTGATAAAGCCAAAGGTTGTCATCTAAATTTAAATAAAGTTCTGTTTATGTTGTAAAGCTGCAGTTTGGTTTTATTTATCAGTGCAGATCGGTTTTATTTGATGTACGCAGACTGAAATGTTCCTTTTTCTGTGAATGTGTGTTTTTGCAGCCGGTTATGCCTTTACTACATGTTTCCTACGGAATGTATTTTGTTTAAAAATGTCTAAATAAAAAAAGATTTTAAGCTTTTCTGCCTTTATCTGTTGTAATAATCTTAAATCAAGATACTGGATTCTCTTGACACCACAAACAAAAAATTTATATAAAGATATATAGATGATTGTTATACATAGCTGTAGTGAAGGAAGTAGCTAAAAGTCCCACTTTTTCACACTGTCATGGGTGTTGTTTTTGAGCAAAAAATTTAATAAATGTTTTTCCTGTGAAGGTTGAACTACATCAAAGTAGAAGTAGAAGTTATCACCAATAATTTATATATCAATAACTGTAAAACTTATCTGCAGTGAATGGAAGCAGCTAAAAGATTCACTTTTTCACAAAAATTTTTCTCCAAGCCAATGCTACTTGGGATAGTTGGAAGATAATTCAAAATGCTGATATAAAGTTAGAAGGCACTATTAGTCAAATGTTTTCACATTCATTTGGCTCAGACACAGAGGAACATTTTAGCTGCTGATTCGGTTCTAATGCAGGGGAAATATTTGGAGAGAGCTGTTATTGATTCAGTTTATTACCACAACCCACATAAACCAGAAATGTTCACTTTGAGCTGTCAGAGGACAAATAAAAAGTAAAAACTGTAATAAAACATCCTCATACTGATGCATATTAACGTCTGCGCTAGAAGCTGTGAACGTCCAATAATCTGGACTTTTAAAAGTCTGGTTTCCTGTTGTATTTACAGTAAAAATGTAAACAATATTTTCTAAAACCAAACTGCACAATCAGTTTGTTTTTACATGAAACAGTAAATTCTCTTATGAAACAAGAACAAAAGACAGAAAACAAGTTTTCAGATTTGTTTATTTTACTTATAAGTCAAAACATTATGGTGCTTTATTGAGAGATAAAATCCATACACAGAAAAACAAGAGAATTCAATCTGAAAACTGCAAATTCAAAATATAAACATGTAATTTTCTTCAGGTTTTTATAATGTGGTGATAGAACATTTTGATTATTTTGTATACATAGTGAAATAACTTTTTTATATCCTTCTTGTGCGTCATTAATGTGTAAAATTGCTTCGTGCAGCAACGTTTATCAAAGAAAGAACATAAAGGATGGTTTTACATTTTTTTCACAATATTTTGAGTATATTTCTTGTTTTAAGCACAGAATTTGTCCAAGTAATCTGACAGAACCATGTGTAACACGGTGGAGTCGTGAATTATTCCATGTAAACATAATAATCGTTTTTACCTCGTTTCCCAGCAGAGCCTCTCCTGCACATCCGCGATCAATATTCAAGTCTGCAAGTGTTTGAGGAAAATGCATTACAGGGTAATAACTTGGATTTCCTGCTCACCTACTAAACATATCCTTCACTATCTACTCATAGTTTACATAAGTACTGAAGATGGATGGATGAATTTGATTGTTTTATTTTATTTATTTATTATCTTTAAACTGGAGTTTTCTGCAGCCTCTTCACTCTGTAATTTTTCCATTAGGAAACTTTATTCTCTGCAGCTCTGAAGAAAAGCATCATAAACATGAATGCAAAGTAAAAAATGAATTATTAAGGATTCCTGCAGCTCATAATCCAACTGGCTCTGTGTTGAGTAGTTTTTATTTTATTTTTATTTTGACAGAAATTAGTTTACATTGGTTATTTGTCACAGCTTTTTGTCTCGCTTACAGACGATTAAGCAAATCTCTGCTGACCTGCAGGGCTGCAGTTCGTTATTCTTGGATGACGAATTATGGCGTCTTTCTCTGGATTTAGGAGGCTGATGTAAGAGGGATGCAACTGAGCAGAAACCCAAACAGAGATGGTTCTGATGGAGAACGGATGTGAAAGCAGAGCGGCTGAGGCAACAAGCTCCAACTGTACGAGTATTAATTTAGTCCTTTTCTACTTCCCTCGCCTTAATTCACCTCACTGGCCGTCAAAATAACCAAAATAGTTGCTGTCTTGACGTTTCCATCATGGTTTTACCTCTAAATGTCTCCAGTCCAACAAACCAGGGGATTTAACTCCTCAATTTTCAGCTCAGATGGATTCAAATCCAAGCATTTTCCAGTTTGGCAAGCCGACTTTAAAGCTGCGTGAAACGGAGCGACTGCCAACATTCACCCTGTATCAGCCTAATTCAGCTGGTTACAATGTGTTAATCTGTGTTAAGCATAGTTAATCCATGAAACATAAAAGACTAGAATGTTTCTGCATTGACTTAGAGATTCATCGAGGAAATATATTGCACATTCTGGCACTTCGAGATGCAATTTATGTGCAACTGAACGATACCAAATTTCTCCCGCCATTTTGTGCCGATGTGTCGCCTTTTCATCACTTCTTACTCCCATTTTGTTGCCTTTGCACTTAAACTATCTCATGAAGTACAGGAAAAATATTGAAACTCACAAATAATTTAATTCAGTTGTGTATTTTCAACTAAAAATGTATTTTTCTTTTGTTCTTTTCCCTTTCCAGCCTCTTAATTCTCATCAAATAATCCAGATTATTATCGCGAAACAAACTGTAAGAAAACTCCCGCAGGTAAATTGTATTTATCGGAATAACAAAGGCAGCTACATTTTACAATTTACAGCAATTTTCTATATTTGCTGTTTACATTTTTTTAGTTTTTGTCCTGCAAGAATATTTAAATTTACTTGTTAGTATTTAAAGCAACACTAAGTTTTGAATTAAAATAAGAAACCTTTGTCATTTATGGTGGTGCTTTAAAATAAAATTCAGTTGTCCAGACCGACCACTTGAGGGCGCTGTGATCGTAAAACACCACAGAAGCACACAGCAATTTTTGTTAGCTAAGTTTTTCCCCCCAAAAAAATAATTTCCTCAAAATATGAATTAAAAGAAAACATTTAGTATCTGTTAATTGATTAAATGTTACTCTGCAGCATCTCCTCATTAGATATGCAAATTTTATAAGTACACAAATTAGCACTGCCTCTATTCTTCTTCACTGTTTATTAGTAGCTTAACCTTCAAATTAACTAAAAGTTTTGTTTTTTCCCTAAATTAATGAGTGAAATGCTAAAAAAAAAAAAAATCAACGCTTCAGTTGAGTAAAATGAGCACGCCATCTAGTGGTTTGGGGTGGTACTGCATCCATTTGTCGCGTTAAAGTGGACGTTTAGTTTGTATATTTCTGCGGTTGTTGATTTTCGGTCCCTCTCTTGGCATTCACCGCGTGCCTTAATTGTATGGACATTTAAATCAAGGTCCGCTGTGAACACGAGGAGAGAAAACCCAAAGTCCTCCATCACTTCAGCCATTTTTAACCATTTCCTGCATACATTTAGCATTTCCAGGACATTCAGCTCACATTTATATTTTTACTTGACCGCCTTTAACCAAAATCAGCCTCAACACATCAAAGATTTTTGATTTGCACATGCAGCTCTTATAATACGTCATGATTCTAAAGAATTTGAGCTGTTTAGTCACTGCTTAGGCCAAAAATACTGGCTAAATGTTTTTTTTAATGTATAATGTTCATTCACTTTTAAGGATCTATGATAAAATGGTGATAATTTTGTGTGATTCAAGCTCTACTTGTCACACAGGTTCAGATTCTCTGAATGCATTTAATGCTTTGAGGTCCATTATTACCCTGAAAAGGTTTAATCTAATGAGCTCTGACCTCTACAGTTCACATAAAAACTGAAATGTTCCTGTTTTAAATTTGTTTTTGATCTGACCTCCAAACAGTTTCACCGATCGCCCAATAATCCATGAAATGTTCATTTTACTCTTAGTCAAACAAAACGCTGCAATGTGCCTCACATTTTTAACATTTAAAGAGATTAAAATGATGATTGTTTTCTGTAAAAATTTGCATTTACATTTAAATGCAATAAAACAAAACCAAAAAAAAAAAGCAGTTCCAGAGTTGCCAGTATGGATCTAATGCTCTCTGAAATTGATTGTCTGTCTGCTGCAGGTGTAAAATCTCTACAAATTGATTTTGATCCCACAGTGGAAACTAATAATGGCTTACTGGCAGAGCGGAAAGACGCATTACGTTATTTTAAAATGCAATGCATGCCCGGTATGTGTATTTAATGTTGCCAGATCCGGTTTAAAAACGCCGGTATGGTCCTTTAAGCAGCAGTAGCAGCAGCACTGCGGACATTCAGAGCATTACCCTCCATTATCCAGCAGCCATAATGTGCGTTCTTATACAGCACTGCTGCAGGGGTGGAAGCTGCGGCTGCAGCTCTACCCATCATCCCGCATCAGTTCACACATCATGTCAGCTCCAAATAAAAAAAAAGGAAGAAAATGATGCAGAAAAGAGATGAGAGGTGCATCAGTGCAGCTCAGCGGCTCTCAGGTAGAAATGAAAAGAAACGGAGCCATCTGCAGCCTCATTAAACGCAGAAATGCAAATGACCCAGATAGCTCATGTAGGCTAAAAACGCAGAGGGGGAGCAGAGGGGGGAGGATGGGCTTCTTTGTGGGGGTCGGCTGAGAGGTTTGAAGCCACTATTAACCAATTTTAATATGCAGTAATCAAACAGAAACGGAATATTTGCAAAACATCTCTAAAAATGACTATCCTCTCTCGTCAGAGCATCACATTACATCATGGCCTCTTAAGGAGATAAATGTCGCTTTTATCATATTAAATGATTTTTATCACAAGGAGAGGAAGCAGTTCCGCAGAGCGCGACAGCACACTGCGGCTTTTGCAAATAAACGCACTAAAAGCGTCAATTTCAGTTTCAAATAAACGCAAAACCGAACAATACCTTCCAAAAGCAAGGAGCAGAATAAACGGCGCGTTTTCACTAAAAAACAAAAAGCGACCGGCTTCTGCGGGATTTAATCCTCTCCATGGAGGGATGCGGAGGGATGATGGTGATGATGGTGATGATGATGATGGTGATGCGGGGGATGCAGAGATCACACCGTCCTCCCCTCTGCAGATGAAGAGTTTTACCCTCCAGAGGAGATCGCTAAGCAGACATAGTCCAGAGTCAAGAAGAAGAGGAAGAAGTAGAAGAAGAAGAAGACATGCAGAAGCTGAAAATGTCGCTTCCCTCCTCGGAGCGCTGGGTGCAGTCCGCGGAGCTCTGTGGCAGGATGGAGGGAAAGAAGTCGGGCGCAGTCAGATGGAGAGGAGAGAGGAGAGGGGAGGGGTGGTCCTCTGAGAGAGAGGGAGTCAGATGAAGGCAGGTTTTCACATCCTCATCCTCCTCAGGAAGGGGGAGGAAAGGCCGAGTGAAAGCATCTGGCTCACCCCACCTGACCATAATTTAGGTTAATCCAGATGGTTTCCGGAAATATTAAACACGCAAAGTTTTTTTTTTCTTTCCCCAAAATATGGCCGCTGTGAACATGATTCAGTCTCACATTTAGATAATTACCGTCACTCATCGTCATGACCTGTGAGGTCTGGATGTCAAGAATCTTTTTCCTGACAAAATCCTCAGTTTTCACAGTTTTCAGCTTTCTACTTGTTTTTTAAAGGATATTTGACCAGCCTCCTTGAAGATCTGCTCATGACTCTGGATAAGCAGCATATGCGCTACATATGCGACATAAGGGCGCTGCGTTAGAAGGGCGCCAAACAACAGTGGACAAATTATTCCTAGTGAAGAACACTGGGGATTTATATATCATTAAACCGAAATGACTTCTTTAAATAAGAAAGATTGTAACAGTAGAACTTCATGAAAGGTTTTAAGATCTGGATGTCAAAGATCTGTCTTTTTTCTGAAACAATCCTCAGTTTTCACATTTTTCAGCTTTCCACTTGTTTTAAAACGGATATTTGACCAGGCTACTTGAAGATCTGACTCTGGATAAGTGCACATGGTGGCGGAAAAAGTGGGAATCCACTGTATGGGCAGCATAGGGGCGCTGCATAGAGGGGGCGCCAATATGGTGGAAATATTATTCACCCCAGAAACACTGGGGTGAGAGATTTAGGTCTCATTAAAACCAAAATGTGTTTTCCTTTAAATAAGAAAGATTGTAGCAGTAAGACATCATGAAGTGATCTCAGGTTGTAAGATTTGGATGTCAAGGTCTGTCTTATTTCCATCACTTTTCCAGTTTTGCAGCAAGGTAGTCGGGCTTTCCTCTTGTCTTTCAGAGTTTCAAAAGTTAAAAATTGTTGGATTTTGAAACTCAGAAATTTCCAAGTTTTATTCTAGAAAATTTTTGACATTTCAAGCTCAGAAAATTCCTTGTTTTTTCTAAGGAATTTCTGAGATTCATCTAAAAATTTCTACATTTTGTTTTCTAGTCACTTTTTGATATTTTAAGCTCAGAAATGTTTGTTTTTTTCTAAAAAGAAAAGGTTTTGGGGGAAATTTACTCCCTTTTTTATCTACAATGACCCTAATACGCTGGAGGAGAATTATGTATTTATGCACATGTAAGCAGTAAATAATCTGTATCTCATTTCCACCTTTTTAAGCTCAGTTATTTGTGGTAATATCATCATTTTGGATCCTTTTCTCCCTCTTGATGCCAAAATTGAACTAGGTGGGATCCAGGTAGTTAAATTTGAATAAGAAAGAAGTTCATCACAAGTACTACATCAAAAAAATAAAGAAAAACGAACATCTTAAATATATTATTTAGAGAGCAAGTTAATGCATTAAACATGTCTGATTTATAAACTGTTAATATATTTTTCATTCCTTTGAAATGGTTTTACTTTGTCACTTTTACTATTTATGAAATTAAGATTAATAAAGGCTGATGTCATTTAATATCCTCCTTAAAACCAAACATTTTTGAGTGTTTTGCTTCCATATGAGGACTTGAGAATCACAATTTGTGTGAATGGAGGCTTTAAGTTCAAAACCACCAAACCAGATCAACCATTTAGTGTTGATGTTTTATTATCTAAAAGCTTTTGGTTGTGGTCTTTATAACAAACTCAATTATTATGAGTTTGTGATGCAGAAAAAACCACAACTCTCCTGTGTGGTGATATTAGCGGCTTTGCTCCTGCTGAATTATTGACGATTCTCACCTTTCATACAGACATCATCAGACACCAATAGGAACATTTTTTCAGCACAAGCAGCGTTCCTCCTGCGTTCTTCCATATGGCACATCATCTGTCTATTTCTATCTTTCTCCTAGTAAACAGGAAACCAGTTGACTCACTGGTTCTGCTTGGTGCTGACTGAACCGGCTTTATCTCCTCCCTCGGTATCAGTTCTCGGAAATACAATCAATATCTTAGAAAATGCTTTCTGATGAGGCTCAATTTTAAGATTAAGAGTCCGTTTTGAAAATAACTTTTAAAAAAGGTATTTATGGAGCTTAATAGGGGCCAGAGGGTTTGTTAAAAAAATTGAAACTTAAAAAATAATTTCAAACTAAAAAAAAAAAAAAAAACTGAAAAAAAGCTTTGAAACTGGAAAAATTACATTGAATCTGAAAAGAAGTTTTGAATATATTTTTATTTTAGATCCTCCCCCCACCCAGTCCGTTATTTTATATTAGTCATCTAGTTGTTTATTTGACTAAATTTCTGTAACATTAATTTAACAAAAAAATATTAATTCACGTAAGAAATTACCGTTTTGTTCCTCCTACAACGTAAATATAAAATTATTTCTTTACAGAAAGAGGAATTAGTTAGAAATAGCAACTCCTGTCTCTGAGACGAAGTATTTTCTGTCATAGTTATAGTTTCAAGAATTTATTCTGTTTTTATAAGTTTATATAAGTTACGGAGAGCCGTGTTTGTGTTGACTGTTGTGTAACAGCGCTGCACCCCTGTTACATCAGCTCCGTGGTAACGTTAGGTAAGCTAGCTGTTATGCAGCTCTGTGGGTAACTAACTGCTCTGGTTTCAATGGTCTCCTCCTCCAGGCTGCGTTTGGTTTGGCGTCACTTTATCAACAGTAGAATGGGAGACATGGCCTCCAAAACACAGATGCCAACCCCAGAGACAGCGCTACCTGGCCGGGCTGACAGCATCAAAGTCTCCGGTAAGTCTGAGCTAGCTTTAACCAAACTTCACTTGTTTTCAAGCCTCTTGATCCGAAATTAACTGTTTATGGTGTTTAATTCGCGAGGTTCTTGGCAGTAAATAATGTCTGTAGAATCGTAAACTGTGACCGGGCTTACAAATTACGGTAAAAAGTCCTAAAAGATGTTTTTGTCAGTTAGCAGCACCTGCTGTAGTGTACGCATGCGTATCTCGGCTCAACAGCCCCGGTTTTTGTTGTAATACGTCGTTAGATCCGCCATATTGGAGAGGGAAACGCCTAGCAAGAAATTATTCAACTGAACCAGAAAGCTGCCTTTTATGACGTTTTTAGCAATTGTTTCCGGAATATATTTTTAAACTTTTAGAAATATAATTGTTGGTAGTTGCAAACCACATAAAAAATAATGTAGTAGAGTTCTGTCTGTGTTGTATTCATGTCTTTAGATTAGTTTCACAAATGTCAAAAATATCAAATCAAAATCACTAATGTGTAAAATAGTTACTTTTTTTTAACAACAGCAATCTGTGTTCTAACAGAACACTGTTAAATATTGGCAAGGTGAGCTACATTTAGTTCAGCTTCCTCAGGATGAGAAATAGAGCCACAGCATCACTGATTTCATCTTTAGTTTCATGTCAAAGCCAACTTGAGCGTTGGCCACCAAAAAAATTGATTTTTAGTCTCTAGTAATCTGTGTGTGGCATCATATTTATACCCCAGAGAAATATAAGTTTGCAGATAAGTCCTTACCAGTTCCTAGACAATTTGGTAAGTTGAAAATACAGATATATATAAATTAAATAAAGGCTTGAATTTTGTGAAAACAGTCATCACCGCATATTTTTATATAAAACATGCAAACAGTGAATAAATTCACCCACTTTTAAGGTTAGTGAATCTTTTCAGAGTGAGATTATGCTGCTGCAATAAAAGATATGCTAAGACTTTAACCATATCTTTACCGGTGGTGCCAATAAACATGGCTGGCAGTGTGTGTGTGTTTGTGAGATAGGGAGCTTTCTGTGTGCATATACAGGCCGACAGCAGCACTAAGTTGGCAGTGAGGGCAGTTGGCACCAAGATGCCCCCTCTTCAGTACAAGTGAGGGCGCTGAGCCTTGGCACATGATGAATAGGTCTGCTCTGGCACTGAATGAAGGGCCCAGGACACACAGAAGCACACACTCCCTGCCCTTTATGCTGGCTTTTACTTACAAGCAGTAAATATAAAGGTTGTCTGGTGAATGGAGTGTTGACTCAGCTGTATCCGAGACTTAAGATCTGATTAGCGTTGTGCTAAAATGTTTGAGCGTTTTCAGATTTAATCAACAACTAAACACCGAGTGAAGTTCTTGGACTACTTTGGCCGGTTTGGAAGGGGTTGGACTGGAGAAGGAGGCTGTGGGAGCGAAGGGGTTAGCAGGGCGGGGGTCCACAGCAAAACGACGATCGGGACGGACGGGAAGGTTCAGGCAGCATGGCAGACTTGCTGGAGCTTCGCCAACGCTTCTGGGGAACAGAAGAAAGCACGAGGGAGTGGAGGGGAAAGGAAAAGCCTATGCCTGCAGTAGAGAGACTTGGCAGGGCTTCCTTTCTTTTGTCTGTCTGGTTTAGGGCTGCAGCGCCAGAGGAAATCAGGAAACGTCCAGGCATGGTGGTTGTGGTGAAGCACGGGGACAATTTCAGCATCTGTGACGAAAAAACAAGCAAAAAAAAATCCATATTTTAACTGAATCGACTGGAAACTGAACTTCTGGGATTTGGGAGGCAAAGACAAAAGAAGATATTTTTCTGCTTTTTTTGTTCTTTTTTTCCTTCTTCTTCACAAGTCAGATTCGGGGCCGTTGGACGTGATTGGGTTTTGGAGGACAACAGCAAAACAACAGATTTTATACTGGTTGTTTTTTTCCTGGACAGTGCTAAACCACAGAAAGGCCAGTCGGAGCCAGAAGAAGGCCAGCCTCACACCAAGCAAGAGGTTTGGGTCAGTCACCAAACTACTGGGAATACTGCTGGTGTCCAAGTTTAAAATGGAAAACGCATCGAAAAGCAGCAGAGCGAGAAGAGAGAAAGCAGGCCAAAAGTGGAGATTTCTAGATTTTACGGCATCAATTCCTGTCGCGTCTTTAAAATAAGTTTGGTGCTTTTGATGCTCTCCTGTTCTGAATAGAGACGTATGTATACTGGGATCAGTGGTGTGGAATCCTCAGTGGTTTCTGCATCAAAACCTGGTAAGGTACTTTTTCATGACTTCACAGTTTAGTTTCCACATTAAAGGTTCAACTGGTTACAAGGGAATTAAATGATGTATAAAGTAAACCTGTCAACAATCCAGTCATGATAAAAAAAATTGCTGGATGATAAATCGGCCTAGAAGTTATTGGGATAAACTGTAATATTGTTGTTTTGAACCCATTTTAAGGAATAATGCGAGAATATATTCTGAAAGATCAATAAACTTTAAATTCTAATCAACATTTAACACTGGAATTGGAAGTTATTTTAAACAAATAAACAACAGAAATAATAAATTTCCCTTCATAAAAGGGCTTGTTGAAAGACTAAAAGACTTTTATTATGCAGTTTTTGATAGAAAGAAAGAAAATAAAAAAACATAAATTGTTCAAATAGAAATTGTTTGTTTTAATTTATAACACGACTAAATAACAACCACTTGTCACAAGAATCAATAACTCAGTTAATTGCGTTATAAATTGAAATAAACTTGATAATTGTCATTGATATCGCTGAAAAGCTGATATTTTGAAAAACATTTGACACATAACTAAACAAAATTAGTTTGCACTTTTCTTTTTTCTACAAAAGTCCAAACTTTAGCCTGTTTCTCCCGTCTGAACTGAATGATTAGTAGTTCAGTTGTGAGAATCTCTGCAGTTTTGGTTGCAGAGTCCTTAAAATCAATTTCAGTAATTATTGTTTAGGTTGTTTTGTTGGTTTATTTTGGATATTTTAGATGTTTTTTGATGTTTGAAGAAGTTGCAGTCGCATGATTATGCCATTATTATTATTAAAAATGGTCTTAAAATAACAATGTCATCGTTTATCGCAATAATTTCTGGGACAATTTATCGTCCAGCAAAATTCTTTGGAATTAACTTTATATTTAATTGCGTGTGATATGTTATGCTGG